AGTTTCTTCTTCTCGAAGAGGGAGAGAGGACGGAATGGCAAATAGGTCCCGCTCATCTCTTTCACCTTCCCAAGAGACAAGGGGATAACCGGCAGAGCTCCAACTCAAAAGAGGGGCCAAAGTGTCAGACTCACTGTTCAGGATCTAGACGCAGAACCTCGAGGCAGCTCTCTGCGAACATGTGGCTCCAACAAAAAGAAGGCGGCATTCTTTGACTAAGTGGCCCAGTCATGGCAGTGATTAGGAGGGTGTCATAGAGCGACCAAACTGGGGCTGGTAGCAAGTCGGACGCTGAGGGGGACTCTGTCTCTTTGAGCCCGAGTTACCTTTAGCAAGGGTAAATCACGTGCCTCCGTCTGCTGTGGTCTCTCCTCTTGGTGTGTGTGAGACTGGATGAGAGAAAGTGCTTTTTATTTCACTAATTGAGAGCAAACGTCCCGGCCCTGCCCAGGGTTGGACTACTGGACACGGTGAACAAAGCTTCCTTCATACTTTGAAGGGAAGTGGTAGAAGGAAAGCAAAGCAAACCCGAAGGAGAGCGCAGACCTGTCCTCAACCACACCAGTCGTCCCTCAAGACACAAACCGTTATCTCCACTTTGCAGACCTCTACCCAAGATTTGTCGGATTTCTGTCGCGGTTTAGGTGCTCCATTCCTGGCCCGAGGAACTCAACAATCAGCCTACAGCTGCTACTCTGTCAAACCTCCAGTGGCACCACTTGTCCCTAAATCCTTGTCTCAGCTCTGAAGCATGACTGCAGGGTAACTGTCACCTTCCCTATGCAGTCTGGCTGCCTTTCAAAGGAGGATGCTACCAACATGTGGCGGGATTAGGCGAGCACACGCACCGGCATGCATGTTCGAATGCTGCCAAGGGGTGTGTAAATTGCCTGTTTTGGGATTGCAACCTGGTTTTGACCCTTTTGTGTCTGGATTTTTTGCAAGAGCTGGGTTTTTCAGTTGCCAGATTCGAGATTCTTCAAATTCTGGATTTATTATTGATCTGAACGCTGACCTTGAATGTTCTGGTTTTGACCATAACCACTGGAGGACTTGTCTACTTGCCCTAAACCTGAAACATCCTTTCATCTGTATGAAAGTAGAGAAGATGTAGGGACACAAGGGAGTAGGAGAAGTCAGAATGATTGGCTTCAACTTCAGCTTGCAGGAGCTGCTCAGAAAGTTTGAAAAGGTATATTATAAGTCTGTTCTGTCATAGCTTGACTTCTTTTAGTTTTTGAATGATGCAAACTATCAGTACAAACACAACCATCTTTCATTCTTCTTTTCCCCCCTATCTTTGTTGTTGTGGTCCAAATTTAGTCAGCTTTATGAAGTCTAAGCAGTCCTTATTGGACACATTAAAGTGGAATGAATGGTTCTGAGAGACGGATACTGTGCAGAGAGCGAATTAGTATAGAATGAGACCCACAGCCATGAAATCAGCATCATTTGTCAAAGCGGACCTTTACGCTAATTGCTTTATTAAGATCTAAAGGCTAACATGGCTTAGCCAAGTAAGGGTCATTGTTGTTTTGTTAATGTAAACAAGTTCCTTTAGGTTAGAGTTTCACCGATGGGCGAGCACGTCTGGGTGATTTGTTTTTTTTGCCCTTCAGCCATAGCTTAACAGCATGTTTAATGCTTTTATCCTTCATAAAGCTTTAAGCAGTAGTTGTTGCTTCAGTTTCCAGGGAGACTCTGTCGAATCGCTTCTCCAGCTCCAACAAGCTCACAGCCAGCAAATCTCTATCACTCATTACAGTGTGCATGAGATCCAGAACCCATTAACCTTTCTGCTGCTTTTCTTCCCACTCGCACATAAATCAGTGTTTGTGTGTATGGTGAGTGCGAGTTTATAGATCGAGGAGAGGAGGCATATTTGAGGTCCTTTGCCAGGACCTAAAATGGTCCATTTTTAGTCAATAATTCATAAATAAAACATAGAAGAAAAGTAAACACAGGCCGGTGGTTACTCTCATGGTGACCTGTGGCATACAAATGGTTTTTTGTGTGTGTGTTTGGGTATGTCTGTGTTGACGAGAGGGAGAAAATGATCCGTCGCTACACTTATACATCAACATATACAATCCTCTGGCTGCAAGCAGTCTTTCATTAGTTGAAATACACCCTAAAAGGGGGGTTTTGTAAATGAATATATGTGCCGTTGTATGTCCGTTCAATGTATGCTTTCTGTGTTATATGTGAATGTGCTAGTGTGTGCAAACTATTTCCACTGGAAGTAGAAGCGCTAAAGGAAAATATAAGGGAAGCACTTGGGTAATGACTTGAAACACAGCCAGCTGGCTCAGAAGCCAAATGTGTCTCTGTCTTTTATTCTTGGTGTTACTCTTTCTTTCTGTCTTTATCTCCATATCCTCTCCCTCTGCCCGTCTCTCCCTGGCTTTCCTTCTTTCTTCTATAACCTTTAAGAAGGATTTTATTTGTGCCTTAAAAAAATGCAGTGGATGATTATCCTTGCAGATCACAGCAGAGGCATTTGCTTCGGCCTTCAGTGAAATGCCCATTGGCATTAACTAACTGCGGCATATTGCCACAGGTGTAGCCGTTTCATGTGCAGTCTGGTCGCACTGTGGCTGAAATTTACTTTTTGAAATGTATTTTTTGTTTTTCATCAGCGCACTTTGCAGAGTATTTAAACTCTACTATAAACTATTCAAAACATATACACAGGTCATGTCTTTTCATACTGTCTAACATACATCCACTCTGAGTCTCCTGTATCGTTTATACCCATTCAGCGTCTTCCCTCTGTTTATATTGGAGTATGTATTTGGAACCACGGCTGATTTTTGTCAGTGGATTTTTTCTGTGTACAAAAAATGCACACACTTGGCATCGCTACATGTAGGTCATGTTAGTTGGACGGTTGAAAACTCTTCATTTTTTTCACCTTAGTGTGATGGACTTTCATTCAATGTTTTCACACGCTACTCATGTTTTGACCTGTTGCACTTGTGGCAATGAGTGTACTGTAAGTGTCGACTCTGGCCAAGTGAATCCATCACTTTGGAGAGTTTCATTTTCTCCTCAGTCCTCACTAAGACCAGAGTCTGTGGATGTGTGTGCCTGAAGCCTTGTTTATACTCTGTTGCTGACACAGACACAGACAGCTGGAGACACAATGGCCGGATAGTTATTCCTGTTAAGCCTTGATTATACTTTCTGCAGCCGCTTGGGTTCAAGTGATGCAAATTTTGTCGGTAAATGGGGAGTACCTGTCTTTCTTTTTTTTCTTTTCTTTTCTTTTTTTTTTTTTTGTGACCGCGGACTCATCCTGAGAATTTACATTACACCCACCCCAACTGGGCTTGCATCCCAGATGGTGGACTTGAGGTGAGCTTCAAGGAAGTATGAAATGGGTTCTGAACCTGTGTTTCCAGCTGTCCGTGTCTACAACAGACTTCAGTCAAGTCGAGCGAGAGGAGTTATCTTCAGGATATTGAATAGCAAATTATTAAGGAAACTGGGCAGGAAAAATGAAACTAGAATATGACTGCATTCTTTTTTTCTTAAGCAATCCAGTACCGAAACCAATTCCAATAATGTTGTAGGTTACTTATACTCTAATCTTTTAATAATGTAGCTCCGGAGCCTGTTTAATACCAGGTTTCTGTGCCCATTCCCTACTCACTGGGGAACGGCAGGATGATGGAACAATGGGGGACATTGCCAAATCCCTAATCATTTTTGACAAACCAGTGAGAAACTTAACACAAATACACTGCTTAACTGCTCAGTTATGATGTATAATTTACAAATTTAATAGTGTAATATTAGAAAGTTTCATATCTAGAAACATTTTGAAGATATGTTCATTAATTCATCTGTAATAGGCCAAAATTAGCACGGGGTGATCAGTGTATCCGTTAGGCTCTAGTTAGTGTAGTAGCACATTAATGGCAGTACAGACCCTTTCCATTACTGCACACAGTTATTATAGTGATGCAGAGGATAGGAAAGCAATTCCGCAACAATGGTCTTTTCCAAGATTTTCCTGTGTTTTTATAATTAGAGTAAATGTAAAATATTACATTTCCAGTGCAAATGATACACAATTAACTACTTAAGCTGCTGAAGATGTGTAATTTTATACATCATGTCTTGTATTATTTTACGTTCCTGCACTGTTGTAGGCTATATGTCTTATTACACTTTTATTAGCTACAGCAATTTTGCCCCATTTGCACACCTCTGTGCTCCAAGCAGTGTTACACTTACACACATGGTATTCTTTGGAGTCTTTTCTTTATGTGCAGTTGAAAAAGGTTGAACTGAGGGGAGTCCCAGTAGAGAGAGTGCGCGAGAGAAGAACACGGAACAGTTTTATACATCTAAAAATAAAACATTTGACAGGATCCTCTGCTTGCGTCAGCGCCCCTTGTGGTTTAACCCTCACACACAGACGTTCACACATGCCCTTTGAGATGGGGTTCTGTAATAGAGCCACTGAGTTAAGAACACAGACGCACAAAATCTTGCTTCATCATAATATTGAATTTGGTCCTGTAAACATACACACATCCATACACAGAGCATTTTTGAGTCACACTGCAGTGCATTAGAACTTTATACCAGCATAAAATGAGAAATTCTTGCTGTCATTCAGACCTGGTGTAATGTAATGGTGGTCCAGCATTAATATGAAGGCTGATATTGCTCGGGGACTTGCTTCTGGATGGCGTGGGCCTTCCAAGTCGGCAAAAGAATAGAAGTTCAAATCTTTTTAGTCAAAGTACCTTGAGGATATTCCAGAAAATATCAACTTTTCTGCCCTCTGGTAAATTTGTTTGCAGTACGCTGTGATGTCCCTCAAGAAAAGTCTTTGTGACACAATCCGAAGAAATTTTAGGTTCACTTGTAGTCAGCTGTCTCATCCATTTTTTGTGATAAGAATGATGTGAAACTACTATATTGCTGCCCTTGACTGTACTTTAATTTTCCGCTGATAAAACCATGTTCTCTGTTCGTATTTTTAGGACATCCAGGCTGAGATCGATGCCCACAATGACATCTACAAGAGCGTCGACGGGAACAAGTCGAAGATGGTTAAAGCGCTGGGCAGCTCAGAGGAGGCCGTGTTCCTCCAGCACAGGCTGGATGACATGAATCAACGATGGAGCGACCTGAAGACCAAATCTGCCAACATCAGGTCAGTAAAAGCTCTCAACTTAACTTGTTAACTTTTGCTTTCTCGAGTCTTTTCGGTCATGGATGTCAGATTGCAGTTTTTTGCCTTTTTGCTGCTCTCAAACTTGGAAGAAAAAAGATATCTTGGTATAAGGTCTCAAGGCAATCGTCCAAGTAGGTCTCAGCTTGAGTGTACTCCTTTTTTTAATCAGCTAGTGTGTCATAACATTGCAGAAGTTTTGATTAACTATTAAATGTAGTGCATTGGGAGATGTGCTATTTCCTGATCAGAAAATGTCCTTTTCCCCAACATGTGGAATTCTGGAGCCCAGGAAGTTGATAAATGAAAACAATCCAATCAGAAAATGCTTTCAATTAAAAATGAAATACCAATGTCAGTAAAATGGTCTGCATTTGGACCTGCTTTGTACTCAGTGAAAATCCTAAACACTGCGCCTTTAAACACAGTGTCCATAGTGTCTACTTTGATTATTTTACACAAATTACACCAGGCTTCTACACAGTAACTACATCAGGCGGGTCAGACTTAACTCAGTAATCTACTCATTCCAGAAACAAGCTCATTAATTCAGTCATTACTCTTATGCATCACAGCCTCCATCCCAGGCTGCTGCCAATGTTGTTTTCTTAAAATGCTTTAGAAATTTTGGAGGAGGAAGAACAATAGCTACTGCGTGATATTTTTATATGTGATGTGACCGTTTACAGCATCAAATACTGCAGAATAAAATGTCAGGTCGATGCAGGATAGCCACAAAACAGTGGTGCTGTCTGTTTGCATCGTGCCTCTCTCTGCGCTATTGACACTACGACAGAACATCCTGCAGCAACCAATTTATAGCTCGTTGAGCTTTTGTCATCCTATTTCTTTGTGATTGGTACTGCAGTTTCAGAGAAGTGAAGGTAGTTCTTTGACTGACTCGCAGCAGTCAGCCCAACTTTGGGCTGCTACACATGCAATCCCGAAGGCAAGAAGTTGAAGCTGATGAATATTCAAGAAATTTGTGCATGTTTTAAATTTGAAGTGTCCCATTTTGGGGGGAATTCAGGTGGTACTTTACTTTAAAAACAAAAAAGAGAGAGATGGATTGATTTTTCTGATTGCATGATTGAAATTGGTCTCAAGGTTGCTCCTATTGTAGTCATGATTTAAAAACATTCTTCGTATATGAAAATATTCATTTGCATACAGTATTTTAGGAAATATTCATTTGAGTTGTTTATAACAGCCTTACACTGCCTCCTGTTTTCTGCATGTCCATCGTGAAGCAGAGGGATGACATATAGCACAAAAAATACCCGAGAGCAACCACGGTAGGACATAAACTTCACGCACGTAGTGCCTCGTCAGCCACAACCTTGGCATAAATAAAAAAGATTGGTGATGAGTAGGGACGCGGACGGTGAAGAAAGTGAAGGCAGAAGTGAAGGTGACAGGGCCAGATGGAGATGTTCAAAGAGGAAGAGGGGAGGGTGAATAAAGCCATGCCAGGAGAACAAAGTGAGGTTGGGATATCAATACAAATGATGAAATGATTCTGAATTTATAATGGTTTATTTTAGTGGGAGAAATGGGACTTAGTCAAGCTGAAGCATTGCACAGAAAGGATAGAACGGGGGAAATAGACAGCAAGAAAACTGTGTGTGTGTGTGTGTGCGCGCGTGTGTGTGGGAGATGGGATACGGTATGATGATTGCATGCAGGCCATTATGCCTTAATTGCAGTACATGTGTAATTAAGGCTAACTCGGTAAGTGGCATTAGGAGGTCTCTGTACACCGTGTTCAGATACATTTTGCCCAGAGGAGAAGAGAAAAATAAGTGATTATCAACACACATTGCACTCAAGCTGCCACCCACACCGTTAGCAGCCAACTGCATCCACCTTCTTCAAATAACGTCCACTCCAGAAGGCCAGCGACCTCTTTTTGAGTGGTTAGCAATCTGGTTTTTACAGGGTTTTGTAAGGATATGTCTTTTTACGTGTTGAAATACAGTCATAGCTAGAATGTAGCAGGAAGAATTCAAAAGTTGTTGAACCTTACTATGTGATTTAAACGCTATAATTTAGAGAATAACAAATTTGAGACCGTAATATGTGCGCATGTATAGAATAAAGTGTAAAGTAAGGAGTACAGTTTGAAAGGATTTACTGCGATACTGTCACAGGGATCTGGTGGTACTAGTTTAAGTGGATGCTTCATCTTGGCAGAGCACATCTGGAGGTGAGTGCTGAGCGCTGGTCTCGACTGCTGGGCCTTTTGGAGGAGCTGTGGAGGTGGATCTGCATGAAGGATGAGGAGCTGGCGAAACAGATGCCCATCGGAGGAGATGTGCCCACTCTGCTGCAGCAGCAGAATCACTGCACGGTATGAATTGTTGCCACAGGCGATGTTCCTGCCACACTCTGAAAGATTTATCCATACCTTGTCCTTTCCTTATTGATTTTTCTTTAAGTTTTCAGAGAGAAGCTTCAAGAAAGTAACTTTTTTTTCCTAAAATAAACGTTCCTTCTGAACATTTGTAACCATACTCTCAGCTTGATATAGCCAGCCCCATGTTATCAAGCTTTTTTCCCCTTCTTAAAGCAAATGCCTCATTAGTTGTCCTCTCTCTCTTTCTGTGTGCGCAGATGGTTTCCTTGCGTTTGACTAACATCTCCCTCACTGTCCTAATCATTTTCTCCTGTTAGGGTACAGAGGGTTAAGATTTCTTTTATTTCGTGAAATTTGCTAATGTTATATCATAGCAGCCTAACTCCTCCCTCCTTATCCTGAGCAGACGTCTAATTAACTAGAATAAAGATATTAAATTGCACAAGATGCGTTGTTGTTGTCATAAAGCTAAACAAACGTGTTATTAAAAATATAACCGTGCTAACGATGATTGTTTTTCAAGCGTTAAGCCCGTGTGCAGCCGTGTGGCTATGGTACATTTATACGTTTCAAAATCCTGCATTGGTAGAGTTTTAAAGGCCAGTTTCGACATCATTGCCGTACAGTGAGTAGTGTCGTTTCTCGTGTTTTATCATTGCACTTATTGATGTTTTTACACTACACAGAATCAGTTTTTCTAACAAGCAGTCAATACCTTTATTGTGCTGACCCATTCGTACCTTTGCCATCAGTGCCGTTTGTCAGCAGTGTTCCCCACTGTATTATTTATTGTAACCACTGGTTATTGTGATAGTGCACCGGAGTGTAATTGCTTTCAGATAAATGACTCAGCCCGTGGCTACTGTTTACTCCCAGCCTGCCGGCCGCTCTTGACATCGTAATGCGTTTCTCGGCATCCCGTTCGCCACACTATTATTTTGTTCCCCAAAACGCCTTGAGAGTAAACACGTGTGCAGTCATGTGTCACAGACGCAAGGATCACAGACACGCTGACAGATCAGCTGGCACGCGCGCACACGGAGCTCAGTACTCCTGCGTTGCGACACCTTAGCATACGCGAGGCGCATTTGTATCTGAATGCCTTCTCTGATCTGCTACATCTTTGTGTAACTTTTCAATGAAGTTTGACAAATTATATTTTGAAATGTCATTTTGTAATTTTAGATGGCAATTTGTTAGATACAATACTGTTTGAGGCTAATGAAGCAATCATGCACATAGAAAAGAAAGGAGTTTCAATTTTGTGAAGCATTTCTGTGATAATTTGTAGAAAGAAAAATGAAAGAGAGGGAAAAAACAAGACAAATTACACACGCACACATAATAAAGTGTTTAATACTTAAAGCACTAATTCCAAACTTCAAAAGAAAAAAATCATTAGAGCAATGTGCTCAGTGCTTTCCCTTTTTTGAAGGAAAATGGATAAGGAAAAAAAAAGACATAACTGATCGACCACAGAGACTAAGAGCGGGCTCTTCCAGTGGCACACAATCAATTTCTTGGCTGCTGTAATGTCTGCTAAATATAGTCTTTTAATGGCTTAATGAAGAGTCGTTACTCAGAAAGCAGAGCAGATTATGTAAAAACTATATACAGTGGGGCAAAAAAGTATTTAGTCAGCCACCGATTGTGCAAGTTCCCCCACTTAAAATGATGACAGAGGTCAGTAATTTGCACCAGAGGTA